CCCCGAACTTCCCTCTGCCCTGTATCTTGGTCTCTCATTGGCTGTAGGTCATCGCCGATGTAGTTTTCAGTCAGAAATCATTGTCCACAGCGTGATTGTGAATCGCCGACAGCTCCAGATATTTTGCATGCCAAATATTTCACGGGTGTCGGCGACGTGTCGGCGATTCCCAGAGTACATCATAAATTAATCTTCCAAACCGCATTTTTGTCTTATTCCGAATCACTACGGTACACTTATAATAAGTACTTATATTTGGACTATTGTAGCCTGGTCGGGTCCACACCGCTGCGGAGTAACACATCTGCGTGAATCGCCATAGACAAACTTAGAGAAATAGCTCCGGTTGGAATGTTCTTCCAACATTTTTATGGTTCATAGTTTTTATAAATATGAACGTTGCCATGGATTTTAGCGTACGCACACTCGAAGATCAAATCTGTGCATACGCACATTTTATAAATGAGGCCCACAGTCGTCGGCCCAGGATGCCGGGCCGTTTAATCCCCTGGAAGCACCGTAGGCCAAGGAGGACGAAACCGCTCAGAAGAAACTGCCGCCCCTCGTGCCCGGACCAAGAGGGGAGCGTGTGCGGCCACCGGACCCCGCCCCTTAACTGGACCCTTCCTTCTCGAACACTGTCCCACCTTCACATTTCCCCACACAACGAGAACACCAGGGGCAAGTTCAAGCTCAAACCGGTGTGCACCGTTTTGCTACGGTTTCTGGTTTGAACGACATGTTTCCTGGAAACGGTGTGCAACGGGGTTTGAGATACGTTTTCTCTTGTTTGGTGGGTGTGTCAAAAATGTCAGCCCAATCAGCAGCAACATGCATGTAAACCACACGGTATTAAAGAGACAGCTCGCACAATGTAATTAACATCCAAATAAATTCACAAGAGCAAGTATATTGCTTGCACATGTTTATTTACATTAAAGGCAAAATAACTGAAATAATAAGGGCACAAGTATAGATCTGGAACTTCTTTTTGTCGGGGCTGAACACAGCCCAGATCCCCATTTATTTTTTACACCATTTCCCCTTTGGACACTTTATTCCCAGTTTTGGACATTGTTGATTTTCTGTTAATCTCCGAGGCCTGACGCTACACCCACTGTGTCTGTCGTTTGCTCCTCCCGCCACAATGCATTTAATGTATAATAACATTGTGTTCTGTGAATGCATTGTCTGCTGGTTTATTTAGCTACTTTTCAGTACACCACATTAAGTATGCCACTTAGTACTGCAAGACTTTGAATGATAAAGTGCAAGTTAACACCTGACCACTCTTGTTGTAGATCAAGTCCTAGATAAGCACTAAATTAATTTTGAAATATTCAGGTCTACATGCGCATGCATGCATGAATGTTGTATGTGCCCTGTACATGTCGCTTAAGGATCACATTTCCAGTTGCATAACTCTATAAGCTTTGGAAAGGTCACAGCTGGTGCCGAGGATCTCCCATTGCAGAGACAGACCAGCCAGTGAGAGACTTCAACTGATTGTTGGGTACTGCATTGTGAACGCTGTATGAAATGGCCATGAAAGTCAGACTCAAAGCGAACACTGACCCTAGAGTAAAAAGGGTGGCAAAAAGGCCAAGTACACAGATTAAAGGTTAGTTCACCCAAAAATGAAAATTAGCCTGTGTTTTACTCACCCTCAAAGCATCCTAGGTGTATGTGACTTTCTTCTTTCAGACGAAATCAGAGTTATATTAAAAATGGTCCTGGCCCCTCAAAGCCGTTCAATGGGGGTAAGCAGGTGTTCGGTTGTCAACGGTTCAGAAGACGTGGAAAAGTGCACGCAACCATAATAAAACGTCCCTCACACGGCTCCAGGGGGGTGAATAAAGGCCTCCTGTACCGAAACCATGCGTTTTTGTAAGAAATGTTCATATTTCAAACGTAATAAACCCTTTTCTCTCACTTCCGTTATTCCGTCATATGCAGAAGGCATTCTGGCGGATGACGTAGGATGTCAGCATTGCGTGATTGGTGACGAGCGCAGAAAATGCTGGTCACGAATTAGAAGCACAAAACGAGGACTTGTAAAGAAAAATGTCGGAGGATTTCGATATAAGCCAAGAGGCGGCTGGTTTTCCTTTGCTAAAGTAATTAAACCTTTCCTTTGCTCCTGATTTCTCAGAGGCAGGTACACGACACCTACATCATCCGTCTGAATGTCTTCTGCGTACAACACTCAGCAGAAGTGAGAAATTACATTTGAAATATGGGTATTTCTCTTACAAAAACACATGGGTTCGCTACAGGAGGCCTTTATTCACCCCCACCCAGGAGCCGTGTGAGGGACGTTTTATTATGGTTGCCCGCACTTTATTTCACCTCTTCTGAACGGTTGACAACTGAACACCCGCTTACCCCCATTGTAAGGCTTGAAGGGGCCAGGACCATTTTTAATACAACTCAGATTGGATTCGTCTGAAAGTAGTAAGTCACATACAACTAGGATGTCTCGAGGGCGAGTAAAACAGGCTAACTTTCATTTTTGGGTGAACTAACCCTTTCTTTTAGCGTGCTCCACCGTGTCCACACCAGACGCGACAGAATCACTCAAATATTACTGCCATTCAGAAGCTCACACGCCCAACGAAACGCATCTAATTCATAAACATTCAACCTTTTTAACTCCATTAAAAGTACATACTGAGTGACTGATACCATCTTTGTCATGGTTCGCATTGAGTTCGCAGTTTTACCTGCATGGGCTATGTTTCTGAGGTAAACAATATGTTGATGCTTTCATTATGGCTATAAATCATCATGTAATATGATATCCAAACTCACATTAGACACTTAACACTTAATAAAGCACATGATCAGTATGAGGTTATCATTGTCATCGTTTATGTTGCTCCAGCCGCGACGTTGCAGAAATAGAATCCGTCGCGGCTGTTTAGGACAAAAACTCCGATTATGGAAGTGATGTCTTCGAATGCAAGTTGTATGCCAATTTGTTTTGTTAACTTGTAATTTGTTATAGGCTACTTCCAAAAAAAAAAAAAAACCCACCTGAAGTCACCCCTCTAATCAGCAGCCTGCTGAAATGGTTAGATTTTTTTTTCTTTCAATTATATTTAGATGCTTAAACTACGCAACACCCAAAAAATTGCTATAAAAAAAGCCTCTGCTATAAGTACTCCAAAATAAACATTTTAAAATAAGGCTGATTTCTCGACATTAATTGTCGCATTTGTATTTGTGAGTGCCGCTTACCCGTTGATACCAACTTTTACCATGATGCCTGATTTGGTCTTGTCCTCTTGGGAAAAGAGAAAACATTCAATTAGACCATTTAACTACATTGCATCGGTCATTATTGGACGAAGAACAAAGTACAAGTTGTGAACGTGCAACACTAATATCTAGAGATGCAGAGTGAGTGTTAAGACCGAGTCCCTTTAAACTTAACTTTATAGGATTATAACGCCTTATGATGAAACACTTCCCTTTTATAGGCCTGAAACTTCATGAAAAGTCGTGATATAGACCTGAACATAGGACTTTCATGCAGTATTGACACAATTATCTCTCCCACACTTTAAATTTTCCATGCAGGCCCATGTAGTTATAATAAGGACCTTTAAGTATATTATGAACTATGACTAGAAAATAACAACCAACAGGATATAAAGCACGTATGAATAGTAATTTACCGTTTGTGAGAAGTCTCTGTCTGTCCTGACGCTTGGTGTGAGTGGGCTGATTGCAAGCATGAGGTTAATTTATATCTGGTGCGGCGGCGGTAACCACGCCCCCCATGGACTTTAGGCTATAATTGCCACGCCCCCTTAGAATGTCAAGGTCGTATTGGGGGAAAGTTGGATAAAACAACTGCATCACTTAAACAATAACAAATGAAACCAAGCGAAAAGAAACGTTTTGCATGTTACATTAAACATATTATATAGCTACTGACATATTTAAAGTTTTCTATTGTTCCTTTTGGAAATCAGCAGTGTATACGATCAAACTTAATGTTTTTATTAAAGGGCCAGGCATTTGTTCTGTAAGCTCTTTAGTAATAATTAGTGCATTTCAATAGGCTTTTAAAAATACATCTGTTAACATGGAGGAAATATTTCATATACAGTACACAATGTTAATGATCTTGGTGCCAACACAAAGTCTGCAGGTTCAGTCCTAAAAAATGGAAAACATACAGTCAGAGACTTAGGCCCTGTGTCCACCAAAGCGTTTTTAGCCAGTTGAAAACGCCAGGCGCTCTGCTGAAAACGCCCAGCTGCGAGCGCTTGAGAGCGCTTTTTGTGGCGCAGCGTTTTTTCAGTTGAGACTCTTTGGTTGCTATGATACGGAATATCCGCTAAACTGTGCCTCATGTAAAATCTGTTGGAATTTTATTTTAACCTCTGAATGACGGCGTGGAGGAAGGCGTCTCAAAGCCCCAGATAAACTTAAAGAGAAAATGCTCGTCATCGTCTGGCTTATTATTAATTTCCTTCAGGACACAGCGCTGATATTCTGAGATATCTGGCTCAGACTTTCTCTTTGGAGCCAGAGTGCGACGCAAAGGTATTTCAGGTGTGCAGGGTGGTGGCACATCAGGGGAGTCAGGAGATCTAGGCTGTGTGCTGTTGGCCTGGGTTTGGGTCAGTGACAGGGATTGTGCATTCTCATCTGTTGTCTGTGAGGGAAAAAAAATAATAAAAAAAAATTAATAGCAATTTATTGATAAAACAGGATTAGTCCGTTTAAAAAAAACAAAAAAAAAAACAACTGAAGCAAGAAAAATAAACTGCCAGACATTAACGTTACATATATAACGTTACATTTTAACAAACAAAACGGTTTGCAAGCTAGGCTACACAGCTTTTTCCTTATTTCCTAATTAGTTGTCTAGGTAACTGCTGCTTACCTGGTAGACCCACGGCAAAGGAAATGTTCCTCCAGGCATTATTCTTCAAATTTACATTGTGGTAGTCCGGGGAAGTCATCTGGTAGAGACATGGATGCTCAGAAACCAGCAATATTAATTTCTCCTCCATTGTTCCCGTTGTTGCGCTTGTTGACACGTCGTTGTAACAAAATGATTGTTGTGACAGTTGATCGGTGTGGAATTTGCCCCGCCCCTCCTGCACTCTGATTGGTTAGCTGACTAGAAAGTGACAGTGATGAGTGATGAGCGCTATCCAAAGTTGAACATTCTTCAACTCTCGGCGCGAGAAAAAAACGCCCGAACGCTCAGCGCTCAGCGCCGAAAAAGACGCTCAGCGCTCGGCACGCTCCTGGCGTTTTAAAAAACGCGGCGCTCCAATTGAGAACAACTGAAAAAACACGCTAGCCGCGGGGAAAAACGCTTTGGTGGACACAGGGCCTATCGAACATTAGAATGAACATTAGAATCAACGATGCTCAAAAATCACTAGGTTTTAAGACAAAATATTATGGTACTTATGGTACAGGAAATTACTAAATCTTCGGCATCTCGTTGTTGACAGCATGGTTTGATAAATAAAGTTTATAAAGTTTACTACTGTTATTATATGACACTAGGTGACAATGCATCCTAGGTAATGCATAGTTTTGTGTTATTGAAAACCTGTCTTACCTGAAAAAACTCACATTTAGAGCTTGATTAGACTGCAACATCCGATCCATCTCTGTGGCTTTGTGTTTCTCTGTTCCCAGTATTGAGCAAATGCTGGCTGTGAACCCCGGGAAGACGCCCATCAGTCTGCTGCAGGAATATGGAACTCAGAGGCTTCTGTCATGGTTAAATAAGGGTTAAATAAACAAAAATGTCTACTATTGTCTTAAACAGCAAATATTACTCTGTACAATATAATATCCAATAAACAAAAAAATGCAAAAAGCAGCATCTTATTTGGAGGTCTCAGACTTTTGGACCCACTGTATGTAATTATTAGGAAGTGGAGGGACACAAGGTTGCTTGATGACCGAGTGTTTGACTACTGTATGACCTTCTGCTTGTAGACGTTTCATTATCTGCAAAATCAGCTCAGGAACCACAGGGCGGCTCTAACTTTCTCTCTCAAACTTTTCCAATCTCTTTCGGCTTGTCAGGAGGCCTCAGCGTGCTCTCTGCAAATATTGCCTGGGCCGCACATGAGTTACTAGAGCCACCGAACGACTGAATCAACTGTGAGACCAAACTGAAGAGCATTATAAAACATGCTCTGGGGTTTTGTGCTGCTCTCATAGTATTCTAATGGGTTTTCAATATGAGCAGACACGCAGGTCTATTGGGTTAGGAATTATTCTGATTTAAAAGCAATTATGCCTTTTTGCCCATATGCCAGCAGAGGCTTTGAAAAAAAAGAAACAGAGAAGCTTATTCATCTTCAACATAAGGTACAATAAGCAGCAACCATTCGAATTGGTTTACCCAGTAAGCGGTAATCTACTAGCGCCTGCTTACCCATGTCTGCTTTTTAGCAAATCAATTACGATTACAGGCCGAACGTCATGTCGTATAATTAATATTCATGTGATAAGTACATTTCCTTCACTATACAGCAAAGTTAATCAGTGAATTTCCGATGAAAAATGACAACCATAATCCTGAAGAGAGCACTAATCACTGCAAACGAGCGAAGCAGCAAACCGTCCACTTTCATGAAGCATTGCAAAGTATGTACTCAAATCAGAAACAACAGTACAGAAAATGACTGAAGTATATGTTGAATTGCACAGTGTATATTTTGTCTGTTTGCATCAAATCAAAGTATGTGTAATGTGATTGGTTTGGTTCCTTTATGTAGAACATTCCTCTTTAAAACATTAAATTCATTTAAAAATAGATGACCAAATTGTGCCAAGCATAATGAAACTGATTGACAAGATACTATAATTGACCATTTCAAGGGCTAAGATGTTACTGTACGCTTGAAAACAACACCACAGCTCTCCAGAATGCTGCTTATGATAGATAGTTCAGCGCATCTATGAAGTTGTCACAACGACCACCGAGACTCAAAATCCATGAAGTGCTTTTTTAAAGCTTTTTATCTTGTTGAACAGTTGACTGTATAACGTGTTTGATGGCTCTCAGCTTGTTCTCGAGTTGCCAATTGACCTTGCAGTGTAAAGCGGTGGGAACATGTTTGATTGTTTGCAATCGTTTTCTCTTCACTTCACAGTTAGCTTTACGCAACCAACTGATGCTGCAAGGTTGCTGCCATACATTAAAACACCCTGCAGTGCAGGTGACCATTCAGGGCCTTATTGTGCTCACAACTCTTTGGTGGACACAGGGCCTTACTGTGCTCACAACTCTTTGCAATTACTCCACATTTTTTCAGGTGTACTTGCTCTGCAAAAAAGAAAAAAAAAAAAGAAGATATTTCGGAAAAATGTGCTTTCTAGTGGTGTTCTCTTAAAAGAAAATTTGATTTGAACATGTCTGTCCACTCTGACCTTCTAACAGTAACTGGCCCAGACCGAGAGCGAGATGAAGCAGGGGAACAAATCGCCCTCATCGTGAATGTGTGACATTTACAGGAAAGACCATGACCCTTCCCTTTCACCCTGCCATTCCTGCATCCCAGAATCCCTCACATTGTTAAGAAATCCGATGTCTTTGTACCTGCATAATCTCGAACTAGTGCAAACGTATTTGCATGTGCATCTGTATGCAAGTCAATGCATGATAAACTTTTATGAAAAATGGTTGAAGAAACAAATCTGTTTTAAGGGACAGTTCACCCAAAAAGGAAAATTCTGTCATCATTTTCTCACCCTCATGTTGTTTCAAACCTGTATGACTGACTTTCTTTTGCTTAACATGAAGATATTTTGAAGAATGTGGGCAACAAAAACAGTTTCTGGCACTCATTGACTTGATAGTTACCCATGCTATGGAAGTCAGAGGGGACCAGAAATGTTTAGTTACCCATATTCTTCAAAATATCTTCTTTTATGTTTAACAGAAGAAAGAAACAACCTGAGGGTGAGTAAATGATGACAGAATTTTCATTTTTGGGTGAACTATGCCTTTAAAACAAACACAATCCTTCAGAGAGTGACAGGGTCGATTAATTGCTTGGTTTCTAAATTACTATAGTGAATTTAATCACAAAGTACACTTGATTAATCACATTATAATCTTTCTGATATCCATCAAATTTAGCGTTGGTGTTATTGATTTAAATGTAGTTGATCCTCTGTCTCCTGTCTGCAATTAATCACAGAGCTATACTAGTAATTACCACTGACATGATCCAGGAGATCAGGTGCTCCATCATTGCAAGGGGACAGATTGTAAAAATAATAATAATAATAAAAATACATTCACGCTGTATAGCAATTAGCTGTCATAGTGCAATGTTCCACAGTAATTCTGCACTTTTGTTGCAAGATTTTTAACTTTGCAAGAATACAGATTTGTCCAGTTTTTTTTCTTTGCATTCAATTAGTCTTGTCCTTTCTGTGGTGTTAAGTATCATCTGAGTTTGCACTGCAGACAATTTTGGACTGTCGTGACCGCTGCGGTCCTGGCCTTTTGGCTTCTTTTGATAGTTCCGAGGTCACAGAGATGAAGAGAAGGCCAAAGTAAGTTTGTCACAGGATATTGAATTGGGGTGTGACAGTTTTAAAAATGCCATCTTACACTTTAATCATCATAACATCCTTATTAAAAGCGGTAACTGTAATGTATGTCTATGTGCATGTTAACTACTAAATCATTCTTCTCATTGAAACAGGTTGAAAGCGCTCAGCAACTGCGCCTCAGAATAGTGTGTGTATATCCCTGCTATCTGCTCCC